CCGAAAAAACTTGTCAAATTAACCAAATCTTTATTGTAAACAGTTCCATGAATGCTCCTATCTCCAAGACTTCACAAAAAAAATAACTCTTGCACGTCTTGCGTGCCTATGTTTTTAAAAATTGTCTTAGCCATCTTTATTTTTGTTGATTCCTGGCCAGAATAGTCATCCTGCAGGGTCAGTGAAAATTGCTTTACAGTCAGTGAAAAGTCAGGGATTGTTTTTGTTCCAGTGAGTGGCAACCCTGTTATGAGTTTATGTTTTTGGCATTTTCCAACACATTTTATCCATGGCTGTAGGTTGAAACAACTTACATGTATTCCAGGTTGATACAGTAATTCTGGGATAAAGAACTTGTAAATTGACCTACAGCACCCACAATTATACAATGCAGCTCTGGGTGACTTTCAGCTATTTTCTCTCATGCCAATCAATAATTTTATATATAATTGTCATTTTACCATATCATGATGGTGCTTTGCCTTATCACTGGATGTGAAAATAGAAAGGGGAAGCTTGTGGAGACAAAGAAATGACAATATTTTCTTAGTTACTTGAGTGATTACAAATCTGGGTTAGTTCTTGAAGGAGTTAACCTCGATATGTTGATGACAATGGATTTCTGCATTAAGAGGAGATGACATCACTGAGGAAAAACTTAAAAATGATCTAGGGTGCAGTAATGATTTTGTTTCTGGTATGCTAGTGAAAGAATGGGACTGCAGCTTTATTGTGGATTGGGTTCCACAGGTCAGGTGATAATATATGGTTTATGTGGTCTGTCAAAAGCTGTAAGTAAGTAATGAAGTTCATTATCAAACTTGCAAAGAGAAATATACAGGCCTAACAAAAAGATTGTTTTCTTCTTTTAGGATTCAGATGGAATCAGTCTTTCAAATCGAGACAATAGCACAAGGTTTATGCTGAACCTAAGCAGACATTGTGGGTTTCACTCAGAGACATACTCCCTTTCTGTAAACTTGCTTGATCGCTTCCTGTCTGTGGTGAAGGTGAGTTTCTTAAATTAAAATCAAGACCTTCAAAGTTCTTGGCACATGGGTACTCTATTTTTGCCATACCTGCTGAGTAACTCATTTTTTTCCACATCACAGGCCAACCCAAAGTACCTTCCTTGTATCAGTATTTGCTGTCTGTTCCTAGCTGTTAAGATGTGTGAGGAAGATGAGGTATTAACTAGTATGCAAAGCAGTTAGTTATGGTACTTTTTAAATAGTTATTGGCATGGCTAGATATAATGTTGTTCCTGAAAATATCCATTCTCCCAGAGGGAATTGGTCAGATATTCTGGAGGGATGGTGGTGGGGGTTCAAAGATCTAGGAAATTCAGTCGAACAGGGGAATTAGACAGTTGATGTAGTTTTCCAAGACCAGATCTCAAGATGACCTTCAATTCAATATGAATTCATCTACCATGTAATTTGAGAACCTGTAGCCACTGGGCTAGTTATGTTAGAAGAGGTTTCAGGGAGGTAAACAGGCTTGTTTGATTGTCATTGAGAAAGATAAAGAGATTTTCTCACGTTTTATGATCAATATTTCTGCTGTGATATGTCTGTTGTTAATGCAAAGACTGCTAGGAAGATTTAACTCTAGTGGGAACAGTAACCCATGGACATGTACCATATGAAGCAATTAGATCAGTGCCATCTTAGATTTTGATCATTGCTTGTCATGCTTAATCATCATGAAAAGGACAGACTCATTTTTCAAGAAGGTTGCAAGCAAATGCAATACTTCCAAGAAGAAGGAGCCTGAGGGAGATGAATTACGACCAATGAAGCACCTCAGAACCAAAAAACCCCTTTGAGTGCAGAAAACATCAATACGTCCTAATTAAAAGCATTCATTGTGTCCAACATTTCAGACGAAGTAATTTAATCTAACTAGTACTAGGCAACTACTTTACAGTTGAGTTCTTACATGACTGTATGTCTACAGATCAGGCTGAAAATTCCAAGCAATTTCTTTCTTGCAACTCGATTTTTCGCTCACAGTTGACCCCTGGCCGCTATGATTCCTGATGTCATAATTATTAATCTATATGCAGCTAGTGGGATTTGGAGTGTTTATACTACTTTAACTAGTCCGAGACTATGATAAAGGTTCGTGAGGTTTCTTTAGGATAAATGATGTTTTCTGACATACTGACATGTGTCTGTGACCTTTTTTCTGAGAGCCTGCTTAATACAGACACTCGGATGATGCGGACACTATGGCATGTCCATTTGCCGGCCCCTGTGTTAATGGGGTTCCACTTAACAACAACTTTTATAGGACGAGGAGACCTCCAAAAACCTACCAGGCTTATAGCAGAGGCTACCTCAGTTGTTAATGGTTATAATTTTTAGTGCAGAGTGCACTATTGGGATGGTTTAGGGGGCTGCTGTTCGCTAAGGCACTAATGTAATAAGCCACTAAAGGAATAATGCACTAACACGATAAGGCACTAATACGATAAGGTACTAACACAATAAGGTGTAAACTTTAATGTTTGTTTAATTAATTACTTTCAATTAATCAGTTAGCCTTGTGGGAAGGGGAGCTGGGTGGGGTAGGTACCCGAGCGCATTCCACAAAACGTGTTATATTTACGTTGCTTTCTTTGATAACATGACAAATATATATANGCTCATATTCTGCAAAGGGGGAAAGGCCTAGTTGACTACCAAGGGAGAGCAGGCTACAGCAGGGGTGAGGACCTGTTTGACTACTGCATCAGAGCTGTAAATTACACTCTGCACTATCTGAGATTGTCTCACTAGTTTAGCTTTGTGTGCCAAGACCAACTCTGAGTTATTTAATACTAAATAAAATTTAATCGTCTTTTCCTTGAAGCTAGGAAAGCTTGGTAAACTAGTGAGAGATGCTGGCAGAGAATTCCAAATTTTGGGACGTTGATTAATGATAGAGTATTGTAAATTATTGCAAAAGATTTATGCAACATGTTTGCATACATAGTTCAAATCTGTAATGATTTGTAAACTATTTTATTTCCTATGAGTCCCACCACCAAATAACTGGAGTTGTGAAGTTTGCTTGAAGGTTTGAGTTTCCAGGAGTCAACTGTACATTCATGGAAGAGTTTTGGACCACAATTGTATTTCATTGTGTGACACAACTGTTCAAATGTTTTTCGTTGTTAGGATGTCCCAACAGCAGCTGATTTGGTCAAAGTTAGTGGGCTACGCTTTTCTTCTTCAGACCTCTTAAGGATGGAGCGAATCATTCTTGATAAACTTCAGTGGAATCTGTCAGTGAATGCTTCAACTCCATTGTATTTTCTGCAAGTAGTAAGTACATGTGTAGAGTGACACAGCCTTGATGCAAATTTATCTTATGCCTGAATAATTGAAGGTAAGCTGAAAGTGCAAATTAAAGCTGACAATTTCATAATTTTCTTGCAGTTCCACGCACTGTGCGTTTCAAAAGGATTTCTTGACCACTGCCCAGTGAGCCAACATTTACAACACATCACTGCTTCTTTAGAAGATCTCCTTTGTCACCACAAATTTATGTTCTTCAAGGTGAAAAAAGTAATATTAAACTAATTACAGCCAAATGAATGAATGCATGAATGAGTGAGTGATCAATGAATGAAAATAATTAAAACAAATATGCTAATGGACATATTTAGAGTAGCCTGCGAGCAGGCTCACCTTTGAGTCACGTGCGTGAGTGGCAAAGAGCAAAGCGATCCAGTGGGAAGGAGTCTTGTGAAGAGGTGCCTAACTTTCAAGCACCTCTGCTCGATTTCGCACTGGCAGCTACATTACATGCGCCTGTGCTTGAAGGCTATGTTTAGAGATAAAGCATCTATGCCTATGCACCCAAACAACTGGCAGTTTTCAAGAAATGTGAATGTTTGCGGAAAACTAGAAAATGCATCAAAAATCTTCTTGCAAGACATATTTCACCTCTACTTTGATTGTGATGCAGCATCTATGTTTTTTTGTTTCAGCCATCGACTTTATCACTGGCTTTGCTGAGTTGTGAGTTGGTGTATGTTAGCAGTAATTGGCTCCTGGCAACACATTACTTGCAGCAAGAAGCAAAGGTAATGATGCTAGTATCATTGTTTAAAAATAATTGATTGTTAGTCAACACTAGTGATACGCCCACAATCAAGGTTTTGTTAATCATCAGACATGTTACCGGTACATGATTGCATGTGCGATTACGTAGAGTGATTTTCTCAAACAATGTCAGTTTGATCTGCAAATTGTATGATGAATTGAGCTGCAAATAATGATCAAATAAGTCTCCCCTTTGTAACTTTCATTGTTTCTCTCTTGGCAGATTCTAGATGCAGAACTTTGGCAGTGTTCTAAACTGCTTAATGAACACTTCAACTCTGTTTCAAACAATCACTTTTCCAGAATCAAGACTCAGTCAATAACTGATAGAGAGGATCAACCCTTCACAGTGATAGAAAACTAATTACAAGGTAAACTTTCTTTATGTTTACTGTTAGTAAGGTAGTTTTAAGGTAAAGGTACATGTTGTCAATGGAGGCGCGGTGGACTCATGGTTAGT